GTGCATATACTGCTGTTAATAAGATTTGTTTTTGCTCTAATTCTATTTCCAACATTAAAATTCTCCCCTCTTCATCTGAATATATTAATTTTGATTTTATTTTTTCTTTGACGTATATAGCAATTCCTCCTTTCTTGTTTTGTGCTAATGTTGTGTATAGTATTCCTAATTTTGTGTTCTCTAGTATTTTTCTATAATCTTTTTTTATATGAACTTCTTGGAGACATCCAATTTCCTTAATTTGTTAAATGTTTGTGCTCTTTTTCTTGGTATATTTAAACCATTAATATTTACAGAGATGAGCTTAATTGCGTCTCCCGTTTTTTACTTGATCTGTTTTTTTTATGCTTCTTGTCTCTATTACCCTTCCTTTTACTCCTTCTCTTTCTAACCTTTTTCTTTCTTGTATCTTTTGTATTGGTCTTTCTCGTTCAACTTCCTCTAGTAAATCCTCATCCTGACTTTTACTCTCCGTCTCTTCCCTACTTTCTTGTTCTTCTTCCTGCGTAAAGTAACGTTCATAGAAATCTTGCACTTTCTCAAGTGTGTCAATCTTATATTTTTTTTCCTGCCAAGTTAGAAATATACCTTCAGGTATTAACCATCGAAACATAACCTTATATTTAGTTAATTGAGTCGTTAGAAATTGGTATTCTCGTCTCTGGTTTCGTATTCTACGTGGTATTTGTTTTAATACAATTATTTCTTTACCCTTATATATTATTGATTCCTCTCTTGTTTTTTTATATATTTCGTCCCTTATTGATCTTCTAGTGAATCTTATATGTACCTCTCTTACTAATCTATGCCTTCGTGCATAGTTTGTATATACTCTATATGTTTCGTCTATGTCTCTCCTTATTTCCTGTTTGTCCTTTCCTAATATCTCCGTCAACACCTCCGCCATCTTCTCTCCCAAATCTTCTTCCTTTTCCTCTACAATGTTTTGGAATCTTAGAAAGAACGCAGCTTTATCCATTTCCAAAAATGCAATCATTTCTGTCAACTCCCTATTTGTCTGCTCAGATTCCTGTACCATCTTTTCTATCTTGTTATCAACTTGCTCCATTTTTGTTTCAACTTTTTGGATTCTTTGTTCATTTTCCATCATTGTTTGTTGTATATTGCCTATCTTATCATTCATGTTTTTAATTTCATCTCTCATTTCTCCAATGTCATTCTTGATTTCTATATGATGTACTTTTGTTTCTTCATGATTATTTGCTATTGCCTCTTGGGTCATCATCATTGTTTCTTGAATCATTTGTAGTGTTATCTGTATGCTCTGTGGGGTCATTGCCAGTTCTGCCTTTTCTTTTTCTTTCCCCAACATGGTCCCTATCATTCTTTGACCTGTAGGAGAGGCCATTGTAGGTGTGGGATTTGTAACTATTTTTTTGCCTA